TTCCAAAACAACGATTTGTGTACAATAGCAGTTCTTTATTAAATAATACACAAAATGTAGTTAAAAACCTCAACTTGCGAGGTGTCTGCAAGTATGAAAATAAAAAGGCTTCGATAGTACAAAGGACAGTGGATAGCTGTGTCTAAATTTGATAACAGTTTACGAACAACCGAAACCCGAACCAAGAGCAAACAATATGGAAACTGTTGCGTTTAAACAAATGCACAAAACTGTGGATAAAGGCTACGGCGATTAAGATACAGTAACTATAATGATAAATACAATGATAAGTACGATAAACATTATAAGTATATGTTAACATTTCAGAATATTACAGTACGACTAGTGTTACAACATAGGTGTACAGATTGTTGGGAATACAACTGCTTACTGAATGTAAATAAGTAGTATAAGACAATATACAAAAGATTAGAAAGTGAACGAGTAGGAACAATGTAAGACAAACTTAACAAGTTCAAAAAATAAATTTATCTAGTTTTAATTAGTTAAATCTACTGTTGAATTATTATGAGTAGGATAAATCGAGGAAATACATTTCATTTAGTTGAGAAGATTCATATGCAAATTCCTATTCAATCTAATTACTTCCATGATATTCTCTTTGAAAAACTACTTTATAGATGTTAATAACATCCAGATATAAATAAACGGAAATGTTGAACTCCATTTATTATGTTAAGATTGAACCAAGTTATCTTCCTTTACTTATAATATAATTGTCTAACTCTATCAGTAAAAAGGCCGATTTTACAATTGAATCACAATATCATTGATTATAATTTAAAATATAAAACTTAAAACTTTTTGATTCGACAACAAGAGACACACTAGTGGAAATTACACGAATTCTTATCATACCAGTTTGACAGGTTTTTAGCTGATTATAAGTCAGTTAAAGCTAGATCACCATGGAAAACCTGGGAGCACTCGACGACCGTTTCGTTCTATTGTAGGACTCCTTAGCAGTATGCATCTACGATCCTACCTCGCGAGATTCGAACCCATGACCTTTCACTCTCACGCGCGAACGCCTAACCTCTAGATCACTGAGCCGGCTGACACCCAACGGTGTTAATGTTTAACTTCAACTAATCCACGAGATTGAGCCACCATCCACCATTGTTTTCAGTGAGTTACTATTTCACAACAGACCCGGTTGAATTCCACTGGTCACCGCTTCTCACTAGAACTCTAGAAAACACCTCTTGAAGCGATTCACTAGTGAGCATATGTTGATTAATATAATAAGTGGTTTTTGTGGATATTATGTTGATTTCAATAGTTGAGATCATGAATCAGTTGAAGCTAGATCACCATTGGAAAACCTGGAAATACTATATGGCTATTTCATTCTATCGTATGACTCTTCAGCACTGCGCATCCACGATCCCGCCTCACAAGATTCGAACCCAGAACTTATCAGTCTCACACGCTATGTTATAACATTTTTACAAACAGAATGAGAATTCCCCCCTTCCAAAAAATTATCAATAAGAATCTATCGTCAAAATTGTTTTATGCATTATTTATTCAATGAAAAGCAAAACAAAATAAGAGAATAAGAACTACACTGATAGAAATATAATCATAAGTGCTGTATAGAATCAATTATCTTATTCAAAAACTGGATTTATAATAAACCATTCCATTGTAACATAATGAATCAACCATAGATAAACAAAATTGTTGTTTTAATCAAATCATATCATAGTTACAAGTGTACAGTAAATTTTTATTTTTTTAAAAGAAGAAACAAAAGATACAAATGGGTGAAATTAATGAATATAGAAGAACTGGATAATTAACTTATTATTATTATTATTATTATTATTATTATTATTATTATTATTATTATTATTATTATTGAAAATCAATTAATTATTACCTGGAAGGAGCTGGAAAGGATTGCCCAGGATAGGGTTAGATGGCGAATGCTGGTGAGCGGCCTATGTTCCTTCACGAAGAATAACAGGCATAAGTAAGTAAGTAAGTGTTCTAATGTAATCGATACGACAACATTTGGAACGTTTATCAGATAATTGAAGTGTTAATATGTAAATATTGAAGTACCAATAAGTGTATCAATCCAATATAGAGTGAAAAAATCCATTTCTAGAGGAAAATTATGATAAAATGAAGATGCTTATCTTACAAAATCATAAAACGTTTTATTAAAAATACACAATTATTTAATTGACTATATAGAAGATTGAATAATTTTCATAGTTGAATATCGAATTGATTCTAGAAAAACCAATATTAGGAACTTAAAAGTACTGAATAGTTGTTTAGTCCTAATATGGGACTCTTTAGTTATGACCATACATAATCCACATCCGGGTATCGAACTCTGGACACTAGTTGTTGTAAGATATCGTCTAACCTATTGACCAATGTTTAACACACCCGTATGCTGGTAATAATTTTGTTTTAACTAAAGACTAACTTCTAGATTTAACTCCGCCTGGAGCTCCTTTGGAGCTACTGTCGATCCCAAGCCCAGATAAAGGAGGAGGGTTGGGCATGGAGTTAGCGTCCCCATCCCGTAGAAAACTAACCCGCTCAAAAAACGCTAAGCAGAAAAACATTATTCAAACTAATTAAACTCTGCCTTATGAATCACAAGGTCTTCATTTAAAAGAGTTATGACGCCTCATGAAGAAAGCCGAGTTCCCTAGGAAGTCACGAGGACGATGCCCCTTCTGACAACCAGAGCAACCATTTATTTAGGTACATGGAATGTTCGTACAATGTGGGACACCGGGAGAGCCTTCCAAATTGCTGCAGAAATGAGAAGATACAACCTGGAGGTACTTGGGATCAGTGAAACACATTGGACGCAAGTTGGACAACAACGACTAGATTCAAAGGAACTTCTGTTATACTCCGGCCATGAAGAAAATGCCCCACATACACAAGGAGTTGCATTGATACTGTCCAAACGAGCACAAAGTGCACTTATAGGATGGGAATCTCATGAACCAAGGATCATCAAAGCCTCCTTCAAAACGAAGAAAGAGGGCATTACAATGAATATCATCCAATGCTATGCGCCTACCAACGACTACAATGAAGACGCTAAAGATCAATTCTACAATAGGCTGCAGTCAATCGTCAAGAAGTGCCCAACAAAGCATCTGACCATTCTAATGGGAAACCTAAATGCCAAGGTAAGAATGAACAACACCGGATATGAAGCCATCATGGGACGACATGGACTGGGAGATAGGAACAAAATTGGTGAGAGATTTGCAAACCTATGTGCCTTCAATAAACTGGTCATAGGCAGAACTATATCCACACACAAACGTATTCACAAAACCACATGGACTTCACTGGATCACACTACGCAGAAACAAATCGGCCATATCTGAATAAAAAAAAGTATAGGAGGACAATGAAGGATGTGAGAACCAAGAGAGGAGCTGATATAGCCTCAGATCAACACTTGCTGGTCGCCAAGATGAAATTGAAACTCAAGAAGTACTGGACAATGGGGTGGACAATATCATAAAAGTTCAATACGGCCTTTCTTCGGGATATTGACAAACTCAACAAATTCAAGATAGTCCAGAGCAATAAGTTCCAGGCCTTTCATGATCTACTCAATAGAGAGGGAACTACTATGGAGAGCAACTGGAAGGTGATCAAAGAGGCAATCACTTCAACATGTCATGAGGTCCTGAGCCACAAGAAGCACCATCACAAGGAATGGGTCACCGTTGATACACTGGATAAGATTCAAGAAAGGAGGAACAAGAAGGCAGCAATCAATACCAGCCGAACAAGAGCAGAGAAAGCCAAGGCATAAACTGAGTACACAGAAGTAAACAGGCAGGTGAATAGGAGCATCAGAGCCGATAGGTATATCTCATACAATCAATTCATAAGTAGAAGATCAGCCATTTGTGTGAATAGGAGTGACAGAAATAATAAAGTCACTAAAACAATGTGTAAATCGATGTTTATGTAAATTACAGATCATCTATTAGATTAAAGATGGTAAAAACTCAAAGAAAAATACATAAAAAATATCAGTATCATTCTTATTTTAATATTTAAATTCACAAGTCGATATAAGATAGACCACCATATTGAAGACCTGGAAGTCACTGATAAAAGTGCATAGAAAAGTTTAAAAGAAAACAACAACATCTGATTGTATTAGAATAACATGTTTTATAAACAGAATTTCCAACAATGATTTCCAACGCCCCAAAATGCCCTGGTATGGCCGAGAGTGAGGTGGGCCCGCCCTCCATCTCGAAATGCTCTCATACGGCCAGGCGTATACAGCCTCTGCCAGAGAAGTCCTACCCACTGCCTTCTCGTGACGGGGATGTTGTTTACGAAATTGAGAGGACGAAAAGCGAATGTCCGGCGCTTTAACTGGATTCCAAACCAATGCTGCACATGGGCTCCAGTATCCTGCGGGAACAAATGGCATATGAACCAATCGTTGGTCACCGTCTACCACAGGAATGCATCTCCTCACGATGCTCCACTGCCTTGTGGATCAGACCTTTAGGTCATAGGCTCGGGGTGTGGTCCCCTAAGAAAACCACCTGTTTCGGTCTGGGCACCCGGGAAGTATCACAGTCCACACACACACACACAAATGTGGTGTAGCGCATATATATATTTGGTGCCCTCTTGTACCAATATTTATGTGTTGAAATAAATAAATAAATAATAAATTTTTAACAAAAAGTAGGATACATAGGGGTATGATAAAGATTGCTGTTACCAATTTTTATATGGCGTCTTAAAAATGGTCTTAATAGTACTAACAACATCAACAATTGACACAGCCCGTTATATTATCACCTAGCTACATTGACCTTTTTTGATCATGACATAAAGATGTCTTCTAAAATTATTTATAGATAACTAACCTTGAGTTATGTTATTTCCCTGTTTTTTTTCATGTTTTTTTGGACATCTTTCATGCATTTAATTATCCCTGTTGTTGTTGTTGTTCAACAGTGGTCTTCCTTCATAGATGTTTTAAAAGTATTGTGTTTATTGTTTGCACCATATTTGGCTAAAATTCCAAGAACCGGTTGATTATGTAACATAGAAGTAGTTTGATCTAGATTAAATTTCGAATATGGTGGTACGGATAAGAATCTGGATGTGGAATTTCTTAAATTTATTTTTCGATGAATTTCACTGTCATTTTTATTGTTTGTTGATGTTGTATTCATTGAATTCTCATGTTGATGGATATTATGATCGTTGAATTTCAATAAATTATTTATCTTACTGTAGTACATAAGTTAAATTTTAAAAAAATGTGAAAAGAGTAAAATGAACGATTGCATGAAATTTAAGCAAAACGTTTAATAATAATCATGAAAAAAAATTAATTATGTTGGGTGCTCACCGCTGAGGAGTTCCACAATAGAATGGAATGGCTGTCCAGTGCTTCCAGGTTATCAATGGTGGTCTAACATCAATCAGTTCACGATCTCAATCAAAAACTTAATAATCTCCACAACCCTATACTGATAATTACCATATGCTCACTAGTGACTAGCTTCGTGAGAGAGTTCTCGGAATTCTAGTAAGAAGCCGTGACCAGTGGAACTAATCCATGTGGGGTAGAGACAGGTATCTACCTCAGTACAATGAAAAATGGTCGCAAAATCTTGTGAATTAGATGAGGGTAGACAATAACACCACTGGATGCCAGCTGGTTCAGTGGTCTAGAGGTTAACCATTCACGTGCGAGACTAAAGGCTCTGGGTTCGAATCAAGCGAGCTGGATCGAGGATGCGCGCTGCCGAGGAGTCACACAATAGGGCAAAATGGTCATCCAGTGCTTCCAGGTTTTCAATGGTGTTCTAGCTTTAATTGAGTCATGAATTCAACTACAAAACTATTAAAATCTCCACAAAACCCCTTCTGATAATAATTACAGTTCATTATATATTCTGTTGTATTGAAATAGTTGTTAGAATTTGACTAGCGAAAGACAGTTTCAGGTCACCGGAAATGTAAACGTCATAGGCTTAATTCCAATTAAGTATTTGTAGTGAAAATGTAATGATATATAAAAAAATTTGTCTTTATTTGTTTTGATTTTAGATCAAAATGAAACAATTGTACGTGAAGTCAACATTGTAGATTATATTTTTTTCACCTCATTGCAACGGATTCGAAATACTTGAAGAGTAATAAGGGCCCAGACATTTTAGCAAAGATTGGTTATTAGAATATTTAGAGATGTACAGAGAATGGTAGGTTGCAATGTTTGCGATGTATGAACAGTCAATGGATTACAATTATGTTTCAGATAAAGCTAAGGGAGATCAGAAATACTCAATCTATATGTTAAAATACCGAGCAGCTTGATTAACAGATGCAGGTACATTGAAAACCGGTTTATCATACCCAGATCAAATTCCAGTTGTTAATCAAATTAAACATCATTCTCGGCGCATACAACATGACAATCACACACCCCTGCTAAATCCAATTTCCTTGAAATCAGCTATCAAACTCTTGATATGTTGGGAATCCAACAAACACCAACATCCCTTTTATTAGATTATATTCAAGCTGCTTGAAATAGGCCTACGAGATAACATGACCAGAGTAATAACAATAACAAATTCACTTGTTTTACTTAAATCTTCCCATTCATGTTTAGGACTGAAATTGATCAGTCTCTTATTAGCATATATGCATACTGTGCGTATTACCTCAATATTGCCTTAATTTACAAGCATTATATGCAAAGATGGATAGTGGCTAGCAGTGGAATCCAGTTTGACGCGCGTTTCATCCTAAATGGGACTCGTCAGCTGGATGTACCTGCATCTCAGAGTTGATGTTCACTCTGGGACTCGAACTCAATACCGTTCGCTTCAAACACCATCGTGTTATCCACTTAGATACTGAGTCCTGATAGCCACAAATTGTTACCAAATTCGAAAAATAACAGATTTGCTGAGAGTAGACTGATCATCATAGATTTAGAAAAGTGTGTTTTTGATTGGTCGTAAGATAAAGGGTCAGAAGGTAAATCAAACCTATTTCACACCATTAAAAATGTTATTCCCCTTTTTAATGATCTCTTTTATTAATATGGATTCTTTGATTGTCGCCCTTATTAGCGTGCGCCCAGTTCAAGGCCACTAATATATATTTGGTTTTTTACTACTTCAACGCAGATGTTATGACGAACTGTCTCGATATTGAACAAAGTGCAAAATATTAATTAATCAACTAGATTGATTCGAATCAATCTTGAAAACTCCTAATCCAAAATGTACGTTGAAGTGGCAGTAAACAACAATTTATCCTTGACATTTTTCCGAATATGGTTATTACTGGAGAAAACAATTTGCAACTTCGTTGAATTATATGATTTTGCTGAGAGATATAGGTATTCGAAAGTGCTGTCACAGTTCCAAATGAATTTTATTCATGAATATTAAATTCGAGGAAGATGCGGCTGTAGAGATACTAAATAATAGACTACCTAGATCTCCCAGAAAAGTGTTTAATTCATCGTGTGAATAAATTGGTTCCAACCTTTCTGACAGCTATAAAGTTAAAATGTGTTTTTGTTTGTGAACCACAGATTAAGTGATAGTTTAATGCATAGTCTATTAGAAAGCATAAAACTGAATTAAGGCATAACAATATGTGGTATTTAATAATGAGATTGATTTACCTGAACTCAGGTGAGTTACATGTCTTTCTTATAAAACTTTTCAGGAAGAAAATTATTCACTCGGAAACATGATATATTGTAATCATTATGTACAATATAAATGCGGTGATTAAGTACTTGGCAAACTGCACCAATTTGTCATTTGATCAGGGTTTTATCTCTGAGGTATCTATCAGTCAGTAAGGCATACTTGTCTATTCTATAAATACACGGATTTAGGTCAAATATGCGTTCTTAAAATAGTTAAACACCAAATCAATTCTATGTTTGATCCTGGCGAGACTCTAATTTATGGATGAACCATGAACGAATCTTAAATGACCTTGACGATTATTAGTCAATCAGAAGACAGTTAGTATAAAGTAAAAATATATTATAAGAAACTAATGAATTACAGTGGATAGTCTTCTTTTACATGATTTAAAAACTTGTTAAGGTTTGATAAAGGTTCAGATGTTCTTAAATCATAATGCATATGGTATAGGAACTCGTCCATATGGTTCCATAATAGTCGTCCTCTAGAACCGTGATACGATCTTGAAAATTCCTTCAATCTCGACCACATGGATTCAATCTTGTGAGTATGAACGCCAGTAGTGGGTTCGACAAAATGACGATTGTGTACTACGACATGATGGATATAGCCAAGTCTATGAAGGCATCTATAAGCTCTCCAGTCATCCGTATATACCGTCGTGCCCGGCTGCATATATTCCTGTATAATTGGTATTATTGTGATTGCTTACCCGTTTCTGACCCTCGGAAAATGCTCCTTTTGCGTTGATCGATCATAAATTCCAAGTGCCTGTCAAGCTTGATAGGCACTTCCGTAGATATACTAGTATATTTACGGAAGTGCTACTTACCCAGTCTTCCTTGATACTACGTCCCCTGTTGTATTTTCGCTTTCTCACTACTGTTTCAACTATTTGCACAATACTTCCTACTCCTCCGAATGATTGATGTAGACGTGTCATTTTAAGTGCACATATGTCACGACAATACCCATACCACAGGAATGCTGAAGTTTCAGTAACATCTGTGAATGCCGCAGCCAGTGTTACTGGTGCCTCTATTATCCAATTTGCAACTATTATCATGATTTGTCTCAGTTTCAGTCGCAATCGAGCGAAGAAAGTCCCCGTCTGAGCAGACTTTGTCCTCCGACATAAAGAACAACGAAATACAATCTCATCACGATAGTCTGCACACTTTACTGTAGTCATTTGATAAACGCAATCTCAGGTACAGAAACTTCTTAGAAGTCTCATCTCTTGTAGCCGCTCAATAATCACCTCTTCTCTAAATTCCGCTGTAAACCGATCGTATGTGAGCATCAGGTGTTGAACTTGGCTCCGTGACCTTGAAATTGCTCAGACGCTTCTGATTGGCTCGTCCACAAATTAGAGTCTCGCCTTAATCCCAACCCAAATAACTAAATTGTAACAGTTCTAACAACAACACTATTTGTTATCAATTAGAATTCTATAAGGAGTGTCAGTTCTTACAAGATTCCAGACATATATTACGGATTAATATCTAAATATATGGATTTGCACCAACCAACTCTAACAATATACATTGTTGTGATTACAATGGATAAGAGTGGAGTAGTCCAAAATTATATGCTGCAGTAAGAAAAAGTGTTTCGAAATAAAATAGCCTACCGTTTCAACAAATTTAATATTAAGTAGTTACATTTGAATGTGATTATTGCCATGGCTTTATATCAGTGACATAGCAAATTTATTAAGCTTAGAAACAATAACCACTGGATTTTGAGTCAGTAGTTGAAATAGTTTAACTGTTATTGTGAGAATTATAAATTCATTTTTTATTCTGGAAAACATCATCAAGAATTATAATGGGAGCCAATATAATTGTACAGAACAACAATAAGAGGATTACATTTGAATTATATTGCCCCTTGGAATACAACACTATTAACAGAATTCTAATGTGTTGCATATCTTCATTTCATTGTTATTCATATAGTTACATCTTAATTTCTGTCAGTTAATCACCAATATTAATATTCACATCTGTTTCTTATGACAAAAACTCTCCACAAAACCCCTTTTGATAATAATCATCTGCTCACTAGTAAATGAGTTCATGAGATACTCTTGGAGTTCTAGTGAGAAGCCGTTATCAGTGGGAGTTCAACCAGGTCTGTTGTGAGATATCAACTCACTGAGGACAATGGTGTACAGTGGCGCAATTTCGTGGATTAGTTGAAGTTAGACATTGACACCGTTGGATGCCAGCCGGCTCAGTGATCTGGAGGTTAGGCGTTCGCGCGCGAGACTGATAGGTCGTGAGTAGCTGGATCGTGGATGTGCACTACTGAGGAGTCCCATACTAAGATGAAACGGCCGTCCAATACTTCCAGGTTTTCCGTGGTGATCTAGCTTCAATTGACTCATGATTTCAATCATTGAAATTTCTAAAAATCTCCACAAAACCCCTTCTCAAAAAATTGAATTATTATTTAACTTACTTTGCATTATCTTCTATAAACCTATCAGTACGATTGTCAATAGTATCATTATCATATGAATTTAAATCTGTACAATTTTTATTATTAAAAGAATTTTCTTTTTCTTGAATATTAAAAGATTCACATTTTTGTTTAGAATTTTTTAAAAGAGATAATTCATGAGATTTGTACAGATTCATTGAATTTGATCTGGAATGTTGGGGTCGTTGTTGTTGATGTTCTTGTTGTTGATCCAATTGACGATGATGTTGTTGTTGTTGTTGAGATGCTGGTGATAATAACTGTTCTATATCATTTAAAATATGTCTAATACTTGATTTGATATAATCCGGTTTATTATATGTATTATTATCATTGAAATGATTCATATCAATTGTTTCACTAAATGCTCTTGTTCTTCTAGATAATTGATTTAATACATTTTCATTAGATAAATTAAATGTCACTTTAGATAATCGATTTTTATTAGTAAGTATTGAAGAATAACAATTATGTAATGAATGATTTCTATTTATTGTAGTTGATTTATTTAATTGTTCTATACCGGCAAGTATACGATATTTTTCAACTTGATTTTCTAATGCTTCAATTCTATCAGTTAATTGGCATACTTTCATAACACCTTGATTTTTTACCTAAAAATACAATTGATACAATAAATATGAAATTTAACTAGAGCAAGAACAAACATTGATGCAGATTAGTATGAATTCATCATATTTCGAGGTTTCTCGTTAGCTGCTTACAAACCAAGAAAATGTGATAGAATTTTTACATTTGAGATAGTGTGAAACAATTGACATAAATGAGTGTAAATAACTGGATTACAATAATATAATATAATAATAATAATAATATGAAATTTTCTGCAATCATCTTTAGTCAGTAACTGACTTTTCTCATCTGTAACAATCATGAGCACGCCAATAGACTACTCGATCGGTTTAATAAAGCACACAAGGACATAGAATTTACTATGGACAAAGAAGTCGAAGGCAAATTCCATTTCCTTGATGTTGGGATCAGACAAATATCTGATGGCACAAAACATAAACATATTCATCACAAAAATACTTGGAGTGGTCTATATCTCAATTACCATAGTTTCTGCTCAATGAGTTACAAAAAGGGTAATGTACGAACCCTATTTTTTTTTACTGCGCTCGCAAAATTTGTTCAAAGGAATGCCTTGATGACGAAATTACTCTCATCACTAATGTTCTACGTGAAAATATAACCGAAAAATTAATAGAAACCAGATAGTATTGGGTATATATTTCTTTCCTGGTGGTACACACTCATGACAGTCACAAATGATACAACCTGAAACCTTTATATCCGGTAGTGATATCTCTATCTTTAGATTTATAAGTCGATACCCAGTGATTTACATTTTTAACTTCACTCGTTTCTCAGTATCACGCTATCATAATCGATTATCACTAAATCTTGAAGTTATGACTTCTTATTAGTCATATGTGGTCATAAGGTTAAGAATTGTTTTATTTGTCACTGAGTAGCTAATATCTTGTAGTTGAATGTCTAACTTAGTTATAAGTATATACTGATTAAGATACTCAATATAGAATAAAATGATTGTCTAATACTCCTTCAATTTCAATGTTTACTTAGTAACAATATAATTTGTAGTGTTAGAATCTAAATCCCAAATATTACTACTTTTTTAATCTAATTTATGACATTTAATAGACTAACAGTAGGTATCTTGTCTAGTGTTAATTAAATAAGGAGATTTGTTAAATAAGTCTATTACAATGTTTAAATCATTGAATTTTCAAATCTCGTATTATAAATATGGAGCTGATGTGTACACATAATTGAAGGTTTCATGCGAGAAACCATAACGGCACTAAAAGTATCGAAATTTAAAGGACCGTAAAAGTGGCAGTTACTATTACTCAGTAATTTAGTAAAATCAGTTATAGTATTCTAGTTGATAATATCTGTATTCGAATATTAATACGGACTGATATTATCCGACCGCTGTTCAATAAAACTATGGGTCAAATAGCTTGAAATGATCTTTTATTTTGTACAACATTAATGCCCATCGTTAACTCCATTACGATCGAATGATAATGATGTGAACAGAATAATTATCCCACTTAACTTCATATACATTTAACGACGTATTCACGGGATTCAATAAAGGAATAATACCAGATTTTTGAATGCAAATATTTAATAAATTCTTCAGTTCAAAGGACAGCATTCTTATAGTTGAAAAACATATGGAACTCAATACAACTTTCAACCAATATCAAAGTGAGAATCTTCAATACGAATGTCAAGGTAGTTCTACTGTACGGAGCTGAAACTTGGAGAACTACAACAACTATCATCAAGAAGGTGCAAGTATTTCTAAATAGTTGTCTACGCAAGATACTCAACATCCATTGACCGGATACCATCAGCAACAGCCTTCTCTGGGAGAGAACAAACCAGCCTCCAGCTCAAGAGGAAATTAACAAAAGTTGATGAAAATGGATAGGACATACACTACGCAAATCGTCAAACTGCATCACGAGACAAGCCCTAACTTGGAATTCTGAAGGGAAACGGAAAAGAGGAAGGCCAACAGAACATATTACGTCGGGAAATAGTAGCAGATATGGAAAGGATGAATAACAACTGAAAGGAGCTGGAAAGGATTGTCCAGGACAGGATTGGATGGCGAATGCTGGTGAACGGACTATGTTCCTTCACGAGGAGTAACAGGCGTAAGTAAGTAAGTAAGTAAGTCAGTTCAAATAGATGATATATAAAGAATGCAAACTGGTGAAGGCGAAACATGGCTACTTCGAATAGATTGTTATTATATGCAAATAAAAATTACGTGTAAAATATGTTACGTAAGAGGATAGAAAATCGGTCAGTCAAGAAAATATACAAACATACATTGACCAAGCACACATCTAATTACCAATAGTGAATAAGAGTGTACTTCTGAAAATAGATGCAGAGTAAGTAGGTAAACAAGGATAACTATTCGTCCACTGATACAGTCAAAAAACGTTAGAATTAAACACCCGAATATCAGAAGATAGTTTCTAATCACGAACTGACATCAGCTAGAAAACTAAGAAAATTGAAAGAACGAGATAAATTTATATTATCCAATATCTAACTTTTTTGTTGTACACTCACAGTGCAACTAGCTATTGAATTTAATTTCGTCAAATTTTATTATGATCACATTACATTCAAACAATTATTTCGAAATAACTTGATATAGTATGCAGGAATAAATAAATAAATAAATAGAAGTTAGATGGTGGTTAGAGGTAGTCGACAGGAAACCCTGCACCCGGATTTCGTGCCACTTGGCACTCGTCAGCAAGGTGTACCTGTAATCTTGAGGGAACTGGTGCTCCCTGACGGACTCAATCCAGTGTCACCCAGATTTACAGTCAGAGACGTTACCAATGAGCTATCCAAGCAGGGACCGGCCTCTTGTAGGTCTGAGATGTAGTCACAATTGATTGATCACTGGGTGGTGATCAATGTCATGTGTGTCAAGTCCTTATTAGTGCAGATCGAATACTATCGACCATGTTGCTTGAACTTCTAACATCAGATCGGCAATCATTCAATATTAATCGTCACGATCAATTAAAGAAATAAGAAAAGGAAATTTGTTGAAATATTTTGTGTTGAGAACTCTATTTTGTACCAAAAATATAATACTGAATACAGCCATTAATAATAATAATAATAATAATAATAATAATAACTGATTATCCTTTGAAAATCAAACATTGGAATAGCTAAAACATGCCAATTACATGCTAATAATATGCATCGATTGGAATGGTTATACGTCATTATAAAGACAAAGACGGAGAAATTTAACAAAACAGAAAGTTAATACGTAAAATATTAGTTGTAAACAAGCAATGGAGTTCAACAAATAAAACATTTGACTCAAAAAGGAATGAATTAAATCTAAGCATGAAAATTTAGTGGGTAACAAACAATGAATTACCCTGTACCAATGTAATTGATTTTGATCTAAACCATCTCAGCTATTCAATTACAGATTACAGTCACCTTGCTTATCTCAAATATAAACATTTTATGTATTGATATATAGTTTTTATGTAAGCGCCTTGATCGTTTTCAACTTCTAATATATTTAAAAGATTGGTTTAAATAAAGATTCAAATTAACTATAAATGTTCATGTTATAACTTGTGGTTTTGTACCCTTGGTTCTTTGTTTTTCACTCTGTTGCCAATTGTTATAAAGCTCAGTTTTTACTTTGACTAATGTTGTAACAATTGGGTTTCTACGTTTACACGAATAGGACGTTAATTTGTTCTAAACGACTGTCTACACTAGATTCCCTCCCACTGTTTATTCTACAGGACGTCAACACAACTCAGATCAAGATCATCAAGATCATTAAATGACCCAACCCAAATTTTTTATTCAGCACTTGAAAACATAAATTCTACTGACATTATTTACATAACAGTTAAGATTCCTTACCCTCTGTTGATCATTAAAAATTTATGAAATGGGTGATTAGTAAACTTGTTTTAGAAAGTCTGTGTTTGTATGATGATAAATAAACATTTTGGCGAAATCCACTTGGTGTTGTTTGCTTGTACCTTCCCATTGTTGTTAAGGCCTGCAATTGGTCAGTCTCTTGTTGACGTATGTGCATCATGTTCGTAAACGTGCATCCTGAATTCCACTGTTAGCCACCATCTATCTTCGCTGATAAACATTTTGTCACCTGTCATAATTTGTTAATTGGCTGTAAAATGTGCATCTTTGTAATCTGTTTATTTCAAATCCAAGTAGCATTAACTGGTTTGATTGAATGTGGAAATTTAAAAGTTTACATTTGAATTTTATTTTGAGTAAATAATTCTGTCTGACTGTTCCATCCGAGTTTTGATAAAGGTTTCGACTTGTGAAAAAAGTAGACACCAATTCTATTTGACTGCCCTTCTGTACTGTCTGTGAATATATATCGGGATCAACTGTTTTTGTGGATATTACAGTAATTTCAATGGTTGAGAGCATAAGTAAGTTGAAGCTAGACCACCATAGAAAACCTGTAAGCACTGGACGGCCGTTTCGTTCCATTGCGGGGCTCTTCAACAGTGCGCGCCCACGATCCCGCCTCATGCGATCCGAACCCAGGACCTATCAGTCTCACCCACGAGCGCTTAAACTTTAGACCACTGAGCCGGCCGGCATTAAACGGTTTTAATGTCTAACTTCAACCAAATAATATTTATGACTGTGATTTCGTCAACAGTGACTCATAATAGAAAAGAGTTACTGGATTTCTCTGTGAAAACGGTTTCGTTAATAAATGCAAGATTGTAATTGCGTTATATTGCAAATTCATTATAAGTGAAAATTGTTTTCAAATGTACATTGTCCATTCTATGTTGTTGAGTAGTATATAATTCTGAAGAAAAATACCTTTCTGTGTATGTAGTAATTTAGATCAGTTATTGTGTTTGTGAATTGTGTGGTAGGTTTATTTTACGTAATGTCAATAGCAAATGTTTTGTAAGTATGCAGTCTGATCAAATCATTGTCTGAATTTTTTGATGTCATTTGTAAATGACATCGCATACATTGTTTATTTAGAAAGTCTGACATCACTTTTCCAATCATGGGTTTTATTTGTTGAACATACTAGACGTTAGTTAGGTAGTTAGGACTTATCGTCTGTTGGATCAACGGCATTGTAACATCCATGGAATTGGAGGCTTCCATCTGAAACTTAGTTACTGGAGATAACATCAGTGGTGTTGGAGGCATCGTTCCATAAACCACTTGATGAACAGAGTTATAGACAACACTGCATTGTCCTTCAGACATACGTCCTACCAAGGAATACGATGCTTGGCTGTCCTACTTAGACAGGGAAGTAATTGCCAATAACTACGCTGGTGAGCTAGCTGTCTGACAGTCACCATCTGCCACTAATTAATTCAGTGTTCACTTCTGAATCAGTGCATGTACAGTAGGCCAACAGATGACTGTATGGCAACCCGGTTTCAATAGGAAAACTACACGAACAATTCATGGGATTTAGGGATACTGTGTAAGTGCCAGTAACGCCAACAGCCGTGAACAAGTCTACAGACGTTATGACTTCTGTCACAGGGATGCACGGGTGACGATTCAATAACTGACAGGCAGCAGGTGTAATTTTTTCTTAAAGACGACTTGTTTGTCACTCCCGACCGATATTTATTATGTTGCGACAACATTTGTGTATTTCCGAACTCGCACTTCCATCAAATGTCCAGTCCGAAGAAGCACACTGAATATAGAACTGAGTACAGAATATTTTCCTATTGGGCTTGTGAAGCTTCAAGATTTGATGAGTTGTTTCAACGAAGTTGGTATTGTTCAGTTGAAGCAGTGTCTCAGCCGGTTTAAAAGCGTTTGACAACTTGTGTTTCTTCAGCAACAAATAGTCTCATATCGGTAGAACGTTCAGTCTGATGCTTCAATAAACGAAAGGCAGCTTATAAACTACAAAAAACTGTAAGGCATAAAGATTTTTATTATCTTTTCCATGTGTCAAGTGAACATCAGACAGAAGAACAGTTGTATAATTTCAGATCGCTTCCTTTACAATCAATGAATAACTTACCCTCTTTACGACATTGCAAATGAGGTGTAAGTGACATAAAATATTATTATTATTATTAATGGCTTTATTCAATATTATATTTTGGTACAATATAGAATTCTCAGCACATATGGTGAAGGTTTGGATACACATATGCTGTAGCAGCAGCTGTTGCGGGTGATTCATCTGTGACAAAACCAGTTAACTTACGTTAGTTAGTTGAGCGCCTGAAGAATGACAGGAATTGCGACAGTAAAGCAGACGTTTCACGAATTATAAAGGTAATACAAACAGCTATGGCCATTAAATTCATATCGAATGCAACTACTCGATATAAATATAAATTTTCGTTTTTTGGTTTTGTAGGTCCCGTCAAAACCAATATAAACAAGAAAATGCGTTTTCAAACCCATTCAATCGGTAGTTGCGAAGAAGAAATGCAGAAGACAATTTTCTTCACACAACTCATCAAGCAACGTGATGTGAGCTTTCAATTTCGCGTAGCCACCTAACGTTCACAATATAAATAGGCACATTGCTCACCAGGAAGTTTGGCCTGTAAGAACACTTTGTGGAGCATGATAAATACACCTCGGACATTCAGGCGCTTTCCATAAGATTGGTAAGAGAAATGCACAATATTGAATTCTGCTGTCCTCGAAATCAGAAGAGATCGCATCGTTTCAAATCCAGCGTCCGTTAACCTGTGCATCTAATAACTATTGTTGTACCTTAAGAAGTTGCACTCATGATTATGATGCACAATCCCACGAACAGTCCAGTAACTTTCAGTAAAATCACAAAAGATCGAGGCCGAACATCCAGTCTTCATCGCGGTCCTTCATGAATGAGATAATAACACTAAGCAAATTACCTCCTTCGTCTAACTGGCTGTGACACTACGCTAAATGTTCTACGGCCATTTCTCCAACATACAAATTTAATATACAGCTTCTGACCCCCATGGAAGTGAGAACATTGCACGTCATAATGGCAGTATGTCACTGTTTCATAAATTCTGATGGCGTTCTTTAACGCTGCAAGTGATTGGAATGCTATCAGATATAATGTATTCAATAACATGTTGTCTATGTCAGTGACAACGTGAGAAATGACAGAGCTTGTAGCCATGTATTCAGAATTTAAAACTAGTCATTTATTTGGACGAAACGGAATCGAAAAAAGTGAATTCAACTATCAAAATTACTGAAATCCCCCCCTATTCTGACCATAATCTTCACTGTTTAGATGGTGGTTGGAGGTAGTCGACAGGAAACCCTGGACCCGGGTTTCGTGCTACTTGGCACTCGTCAGCAAGGTGTACCTGTAATCTTGAGTGAACTGGTGCTCCGTGGCGGATTCGATCTCGTGTCACCCAGCTTCACAGTAATCTTCATATCCATTGACATGTACTTGAATAAGTTTGACTATATTCGATCGCTTTTTTTCAAAACTCCTCTATTTTCTTATAGATTACTATGTGTAAAAACTACCTTTAAATATGAATGTACAGCTTGAGAAAATGAAATCATTGAAGAGTAAAGTTTCTTCTCTAAAATATTCAAACTCTTTTCGTTTTCGATGAATAAATGGGTTTCTTTCTTGTTATAATAAGTTAAGAGTTCAAACAAATATCATTCCAAGTTATTCAGTTCAATTAAATCTGTAATAGAGAGTTTAATTATGAAAATGTTTTACAGTTTAACAAAATAAGTATCTCAAATGACTGAATAGAATTTCTCAACAATTACATCATAATTTAAATTGCTAAGATCATGAGTAAGTTGAAGCTAGACAACCATGGAAAACCTGTGAGCACTCGACGGACGTTTCGTCCTATTGTGGGACTCCTTAATAGCGTGCATCCACGATCTCGACTCGCGAGATTCCAATCCAGGACTTATCAGTCTCGTGCGCGAACGCCTAAACTATAGATCACTGAGCCTGCTGGCATCCAATGGTGTCAATGTCTAACTTCAACTAATCCACGAAATTGAGTGACACATCCACCATTGTCTTCAGTTAGTTACTATCTCACAACAGACCCGACTGAAATCCACTGGTCAATGCTTCTCGCTAGAACTCCAGGATCTACATTTTGAAGCCAGTCACTAGTCAGCATATGTTGATTATCATCAGAAGGGGGTTTTGTGGAGATTTTAGTAATTTTAGTGGTTGAGATCATGGGTTAATTGAAGCTACTTCGCCATGGAAAACCTGGAAGCACTGAACGGCCGTTTCGCCCTATTGTGGGACTCATCAGCATAAACTATCAGTATTTCATTAGAAACACGAAAAACAAACATTTCAATGATAAAGATATTTACCTTGAATAATTGTAATTCATGTTCTCTTGTTACTCGATCTAATTCATATTGAAATTCTTTATGAAGATTTGTTATATGATTATAAATATTCATTTGAAATTGTTTATATTCATCAATCTGTTGCTGTTGTTCTTGTAATAATTGTTGCTGATTATCATTTGCATTCATTGAACTATTGATAACAGTTGTATTTTCTTGTACATTATTACCAATCCATACATAATCCATATTAAGCTTCATGATATTAAGAAAATATATTGAAAAGAAAGTATCACATATTTCTTATCATTATCAGTTAAATTTAAAAATAACAAAGATCAAGATTTATAAATTTATGTTTAAATCACGTTAGTTAATGACAAGGGTTTTTGTAGATATTATAGTAATTTCAATGGTTGAAGTTATGAGTCTATTGAAGGTAGATCATCATGGAAAACCTGGAAGCACTGGATGAACGTTTCGTCCTATTGTGTGATTCCTCAACACTGAGCATCCACCATCCCGTCTCATGAGATTCAAAACCAGGACCTATCAGTCTGTCGCTCGAGCACTTAATCTCTAAACCACTGAGCTGGCCGGCATCCAACAGTATTAATGCTGAACTTCAAACAATCCACGAAATTGAGCGACGCTGATAAGTCCTGGGTTTGAATCTCACGAGACGGGATCGTGGGTGCACACGGCTGGGATATCCCACAACAGGATGAATCAGCCGTCCAGTGCTTCCAGGTTTTTCATGATGGTCTGGTTTCAACGGACTCATGATCTAAACCATTGAAATTAGAACACACATCTGCTTCACAGTTAGAAAAGTTTTATTAAAGTACATGTATGATGATATTCACCACTCGTAATAAACTGTTATTCTCAAAACAACAATTCAACGGAGATGTGACTAGCGATATCCTAAATGAGAGATTAGAAAGACCAATTAAAAGGATATTCTACGCAGCCAACGTTTTGTTGACATTTTCTCTCTTGACCAGATATGATTGAATAAACTGTTTTATTACTTTGTTTTATATCCTGTATGTGTTTCCCACTTTCCGCCTCTTTCCGTCCATATTCTATTATTTACATACTTCTTTTGTTCGATAATTTGATAATGTTTTATGATCATTATGCTCGCTCATGAGACTGATAGGTCCTGCGTACGAATCTCACGAGACAAGATCGTGGATGCGCACTGCTGAGGCGTCCAACAATAGGACGAAACGGCCATCCAGTGCTTTCAGGTTTTCCACGGTGGTCTAGCTTCAGTTGACTCATGATCTCAACAATTGACATTATTTTCGAGTTTATTCATCCACGTTTAACTTACTTCCTATGCTGAACTATTAACTAAAACTTTTGATATTTTATTATTCTTATTACTACTGATTGTATACTTGTTTTATTACTGTCATTTTGTACATAAGAACCTCAGCACTTGGTTTTGGTTCACATATTCACCTAGTGTTTTCAATCTTCATCATTTCGCAATTATTCATTGTTATCACCTACACACTTTCCATTTATTCTTCGCCTGTTTTATATTCGTCAAGATGACAATTATCTCTCACACATTTGATTTCGTCATATAATTATTAATATTTCCAAATCCTCAGTCATTAAGCAACTTTCTTTTACAAACGAAATGAGACCATCGTCCTCTTCACTTTCAAAATGGACTTTTTTATTTGTGAATTAACTATAAATGTAAATGTACATCTGAATAAATAATAACTTTGTAAAGAAAATTTCCTTTGTTGAATTTAACTTAACAACTTTTTGTACCAATAAGGATTGTTACAATAAAAACTAGATGACATAACTATTGTAAACAAAATACTTCATCAGTAATACAGTTGTAAAGTGCATGAATTTCTTTTGCAGATCAGCCATCAGTAATGTAACTAAATTCAAACTACTTTATTGAGAAAATTAAAGTGTTTATGGCGCTAAAACTACTGGATAATCTTTTCATGATATACTTCCAGGTAAAATTGGATGAATAAGTTATCTAATATTTTTTAATATAATCTCGTGTTAACCTTTCGATTATAAGCGCAAAATATGATGCTCAAATAAATCCGCTTCATCAATTCCTTAATGATTACTTATCTAACTTTTTAATTCATTTACAATAGATATTTCAAATTCTTTTTATCACATTAAAACTGATACTATATCACATCACCGACATTGAAATTTTCTGTGATGTCTTCATCTTTGAATAATAAAAGACCAAGTGGAAATTATACAGTTCACTAAAATTAGATGGTGGTTAGAGGTAGTTGACAGGAAACCCTGCACCCGGATTTCGTGCCACTTGGCACTCGTCAGCAAGGTGTACCTGTAATCTTGAGGGAACTGGTGCTCCCTGACGGACTCAATCCAGTGTCACCCAGATTTACAGTCAGAGACGTTACCAATGAGCTATCCAAGCAGGGACCGGCCTCTTGTAGGTCTGAGATGTAGTCACAATTGATTGATCACTGGGTGGTGATCAATGTCATGTGTGTCAAGTCCTTATTAGTGCAGATCGAATACTATCGACCATGTTGCTTGAACTTCTAACATCAGATCGGCAATCATTCAATATTAATCGTCACGATCAATTAAAGAAATAAGAAAAGGAAATTTGTTGAAATATTTTGTGTTGAGAACTCTATTTTGTACCAAAAATATAATACTGAATACAGCCATTAATAATAATAATAATAATAATAATAATAATAATAATAATAATAATAATAATAATAACTGATTATCCTTTGAAAATCAAACATTGGAATAGCTAAAACATGCCAATTACATGCTAATAATATGCATCGATTGGAATGGTTATACGTCATTATAAAGACAAAGACGGAGAAATTTAACAAAACAGAAAGTTAATACGTAAAATATTAGTTGTAAACAAGCAATGGAGTTCAACAAATAAAACATTTGACTCAAAAAGGAATGAATTAAATCTAAGCATGAAAATTTAGTGGGTAACAAACAATGAATTACCCTGTACCAATGTAATTGATTTTGATCTAAACCATCTCAGCTATTCAATTACAGATTACAGTCACCTTGCTTATCTCAAATATAAACATTTTATGTATTGATATATAGTTTTTATGTAAGCGCCTTGATCGTTTTCAACTTCTAATATATTTAAAAGATTGGTTTAAATAAAGATTCAAATTAACTATAAATGTTCATGTTATAACTTGTGGTTTTGTACCCTTGGTTCTTTGTTTTTCACTCTGTTGCCAATTGTTATAAAGCTCAGTTTTTACTTTGACTAATGTTGTAACAATTGGGTTTCTACGTTTACACGAATAGGACGTTAATTTGTTCTAAACGACTGTCTACACTAGATTCCCTCCCACTGTTTATTCTACAGGACGTCAACACAACTCAGATCAAGAACACGTGATCAGCCTGACCACAATGTAAATATATTTCCACACCAAAAACCCGATACAATCCAACAACAATGAACAATCAATAATAAGTGAGTAACAACAATAATAAGGATAGGGGAATATATAACTCATCTGATACCAGTCAAACTATCTATATATCTCACTAAGCAGACAACTAATCATTATCATTTTTGCCCACACATCAGTTCATTTATGCATAGACAAGATCATTTCATTGAAGGTAAAAGGAAGAATGGGAATGTAACATTTAAAATACATGTAATTACTTTAAATTACGTTTTGTATTCAATACTTGAATTCTGCTTCGATTTTTCACTTAAAACGTATTCTCTAACTTTTTGGTACACCTAATGATACCACGATATTTTCCATAGACCAATATATAATGAGTTAATAATCAGTGACTAAATGTGATTGCAGATTGGGACAGGAACTAATAGTTCCAGAAATCAAAAGATCGATTCCAACACAATGACTAACTTTACGAACAAAATAACGATGTAGTAGTGAATTAGTCATTAATAGATATTTTACTAATTCACTGCTACACCGTTATTTACGTCCATTGTACGATAATTAAAAAAGTTATTTTCTTATAACTGATAGCAAACTATTGGACCATGGTAAAGTGATCAAGTTCTAATTATTAACCATGAATTATCTTCTACAATTAACCAGTTATTGAAAACTGCTTCAGCATAATGTTACACTTAACTTGTCGCTAGATAACTAGAATTAAATAGCAAACAACGTTTCATGTATAAGAAGCACGTTGGTGGCTTTTGTGACAGTCAAACTCAACGACGTAAGATATTGTATTAAAAGAGATAACTTTACTAGGCGCTGTGGATAGAAGTAAAACATGAACACAAATAGCTATTAAAACAACCTGCAAATAACTGCCAATAAGAAAAATAATGTAATCTATGTAATGCAATGAAAACACAGATAATCAAATAGAATGAAGCTTAATTACGTCCGTTACTCCTCGTAGAGGAGCATACACAGCCCACAAACATTCTCTGTCCAACTCAATCCTGAACAATACTCCCCAGTGATTTTTCAATTGCTATTCATTTTTTCGATATCTGCTTCCAATTTTCAATACAGTGTGTTCTTTGGTCTTTCTCTTCTCCGTTTCCCTTCACGATTCCAAGTTAGCGTTTGCATTGTGATTCAGTCTGGTGATTTCTTTATTTTACGTCTTATGCATTTCCTACGTCCTTTGTTAATTTCTTCTTCACTTGGAAGCTGGTTTATTCTCTCCAGTAGTAGGTTGTTACTGATGGTATCCTGTCAACGGGAATTAAATACTTTACGTAGATAAGTGTTCATAAATACATGTATTACTTTAATGACGGCTGTGGTAGTTCTCCAAGTTCCAGCTCTGTACAGTAGAACTGTCCCGACGTTCGTGTTGGAGATTCTTATTTGATCCTGATTTGGTTGTCAGTTGTTTTGAGTTTCATGTGTTCTGCAACTGTAGAACTGCTTCCCTCGGTTTGCCAATCTTCGCCTTTATGTCTGGATCCGATCCTCCTTGCTCATAATTGATGCTATCCAGGAACAAGGATGTTTCCACCTCTTCCACAGCTTCTCCATCAAGTGTGTCTAGGTTTGTATTTTCAGTGTTGCATTTGAAGATCTTGGTTTCTTCCTTGTGTGCGTTGAGGCCTACTGATGCAGAAGCTTCTGCTGCACCAGCTATCTTCACCTACACTTGTTCGTGTATATGGGATAGAAGGGTCAGGTTATCTGAGAAGTTCGAATCGTCTAGCTGCATTCAGACTGTCCATTGTATTCCCTGCTTCGCCTCAGATGTAAAAATCTTCATTATTCAGTCAAACGCCAGAAGAAGGAGAAAGGAAGCGAGTAAGCACACTTTTCTGAATCCATTCCTCAATCAGAATGCGCATGTCAGCCGTCCTCTATGAAAAAATTTGCAGTGTAGTCAGTTGTATTAATTCTGGATGATGTTGACGATTTTCTCAGATACACCATATTGTCGAAGAGGCTGTCATAAGGATCTCCTATCCACAACGTTGAACGCCCTTCCGTAGTCAAGAAAGTTGATGTAAAGTGACGAGTTCAACTCAAATGATTGCTCAACAACGATCCATAGTGTCGCTATTTGGTTTGAACACAACCCATTGTTACGAAATCCGGTCTGTTGATCTCAAATTTGCATGTCTACCGAAAATCTCATTTTGTTTAGCAACACCCTGTTGAAAACGTTTCCGCGTACTGATAGCAGTGTGACTCTGTAATTCTCACACTTGCGGAGGTCTCCATTTTTTTTCCGGTATCTTGATAAACTGTCATTATTTTCATTCTGTCAGTGCTCGAACTTTTTCCCATATCCTCCTGAATAAAATGTGAAGCATGTTTGCGGATACTTCTATCTCTGACTGTAACGCTTCAGATGGTATGTTTCCTGGTCCTTCTGCTTTCCCACACTTGACTTGTCTGATGGCCATCTTGATTCTTTCGGTTGTCGGTGTAGTGACATCTAAAGGAATGTGTGTGTGCTGCTTCAATGTCCAGTGGGTTCAGTGTGTCTGGTCTATTCAATAGTTCTCCGTAATGCTATACCCACTTGTTCGACCGTTCTTTAATCTCAGTGATTGGCTTGCTTTATCTGTATTTGACTGGTCGCTGTGGTTTACTGTATTTCCCTGCTAGTTTCTTCGTTGTCATATAGTTGTCTTATACTTCTTCTTATAGATTTCTAATGATCCACTTCATTCTCCTGTTCGCGTCTGACTATTTGATCTGTTCCTTGGCTTTATGTGGTAACTATAATTATTCGAGCCGACGTACTAACTAAGAATTCCCGAAACAGTGTAATTTGGGGCTTGCAGAACAAGACGAGCACAAATAAACGGATTATACTTGGAATTCGCGATAATGGTGAACGGGACACACAATGTGGAAACCATGAAACTGAACCATAGGACAAGCTCTAACATGGAATCCTCAATAGGACAAGAAAATAGGTAGACCGAAGAACAAATGGAGCTTTGAACCAAAGGCAGACATCAATATCACTAATAGTAGTTGGTAACAACTAGAAGGTAGTGCCCTGATCATATTTGATTGCAGGTCCCTCATCAGTTGGCTTTGGTCATGTAAGTAAATAGGTCACCTATTTGTTACCCGATCATAAATGAACAGAAAAAAATCCCAGAATAGGTAACACATAAAATGGTTTTTCCTTCAAGTTATTCATTTACATGGTAATGTTCAAAGTTCAGGCAATTTTTTGATTGTATTCAATTCATGAATAAACGTGTAGTGAGCATCCAGTCATGTCATTCAATCCGCCTCGAGCCCGTCTGGGGCTACTGCCGGTCCTAAGCCCGGATAAAGGGGGAGGGTTGGGCGACCCCATCCCGTAGAAAACTATCTCACTAAAAAAGTGATAACCAGAAAAAACCAATTAATTCATCCTATTTCATCACAGAACTCGAAACTTTATATTCGCAAATTTGTAAAGATTTTGCCTAAATTAGATATCACCACAATCGATAAAATATTTTAAAATATCAGTACTGACTAATCACAGAAACTACTTGAATAATCCCTTCAACCAGTTTTCTCGATCTTCGTTAACTTACTTTTGTGTTTGGACAGGAATATAAGTTATCCGACACACAATGCAATTATGCTTAAAGATTACTAGATCAAAATGTTATGAAATTTGCTCAAAATTCCTAATCATATCAGTTCCTAACAGTTATTAACTTGTAAACTGTTGACACATATTTTCAAATGAATTAAAAATGATTGCTTTATGAACTTACCTCAAATATCTCTGCAGTAGTGTTCGAGGAATTTCCATATGAATTAATGTTATGTATGCGAAATGATTTATTATCTGTCAATGTAGAGTTGACCATTTTTGACTTCAGATCACGTCTAAGAACACCCAATTGTAAAAGACAGTTGCAAAGTTGGCATACAACTGAAATTAAGCCATGACTCCAAGGACATCCGGATTTAATGATATGTCGGCAAAACCATTGAACCAGAGTTGTACCTTTATAAATTTAGACAGAATTCCTATAATGTTTACGTGAAATTTACGTTATTATATAGACTTCGATCATATATGCTATGTGATATAGATTAATCATACCATAACATTAATTTTTCATAGCCTAAAAGTGTTGGATAAAATCCAGTTATTCTGATAGACTGCACAAAGTCACATGCATGATATGGTGTCTCAGAGCGATGTGGTATGTGAGACATCCAAGCGTAGGAATGCTATTGCTAACAAGTTATTTATTTGACCGATTTCATTATACACATGATTTACTTGAACGAGTATTATAACTTATGAATGTGTTCGTGTATTGAAATATTTTTACAACAAAGCCGTATGTATGGGCTTTGACTTCCTTCTTTTTCTAGATGGTTGAACGACCACGAGGAACATGGTAAAGACTGAGTATAACATGCTCCAACTATTAAAACAACATGATTGACTTGATGGATAAAAAACACTATCTAAACCATTAATTTGTTCATAGAAGAAGGCCCAGTGGAACAGATTTCAAAGAACAAAAGCATCAGTAAGTTACTGAATACATGAATATATGGTAAGAATCTGTCGTTAATATGTAAAACATTCAACCTAAATGGTTTGACCGACTTTTTTACCACTTTACTAATGACTCGATAAGCGTGATAATGGTTTTAGACCTTTCATAAATAAGCATTGTAATACAGCCAAAGCAACATGTTTTAAAAATTCCAAGCAGTTTGATGAATTTTATTGTAATAAATTCACGTGATTGTCAGTAAGGGTCCCAAATTCGATTACTCAGTGAGAGGTTATGAATGCGAACTGTTGAGGAATCCAATACATAAAAGAAACTCCAGTCTAGTGTTTCCCTGTTTTCAACGGTGTTCTATCTTAAATAGCTTCATGATTTCAATGGAATTACTTAAGTACTTAACATTTTCTCATCAAATTTTTATCAGTTGAAAGTTTATGTCACAAACGAACTAATTAGTCGAATTTCAAATGGTAGTGTAGATACTTCGCTTGACAGATCGTCATTCCGCTTTATCTAAATTTAAACATTGCTAACAACCCATTTCAACTCCGTCTGTAGCTAATCAAGACTTACTACCGCTACCAAGCCTAGGTACAGCAATAGGGTTGAACATGAGGTCAGCAACTCCATGGCGTACGAAAAATTGCTAAACGAAGGTTAGCAAAATTATGCAAATTAAACCAATTAAACACTGTCATCATAAATAAGGGATACTTGTTGGGAAGAATTATGGTACTTCATAGTGAAAGCAAAAATTGTTCAGAAATCACTGGGCCGATGGCCATTCTAATAATCAGAGAAACAATTATTATAGATAGATGAAATTTCAGAACAATATGAGAAACAGGAAGAACCAATCAAATAAGTGAAACCCATAGAACCAATGCTGGACAGAAAAGATTGGACTCAAGAGAGATGCTGTCCTACTCGAGTTATGAAGAAAATCATGCTCCACACACTCAGGCAGTCGCACTGATGATGTCCAAAGAAGCACTCAAACTATTAAAGGTATAACTCATTTATGACTAACGATTTAAATTAATTCTGTATAAAAATATTACTGATGTATCAGAATTTACGAGGTAAGTGATATTAGTGATGCCCTAATCGAAGGTAGTTCGTACGTGATAAACAAACGTTTACTACTACAACCAAGGGAATAAGTAATGCTGGTTCTTTGGTTTTCAAATTTGGTTTAGATATTTTTCATTAAACGTTAATTCATGGCATGTAATCTGCATGATACCACTGGGTCACTGAGTTGAATTCCAGTTGTTCGCACCTATTAAAATAGCATTAAATCTAGATTCAAAATGTTTTACTATTTATCACCAACCATCTTACAGAAAATAAATTACCTGAAAAACTGCTGGATAAACAGACTGGTTCATTTTGATCATGCACCATATTATTTGCTGAAGTCGTTAATAGAGATTTCTTCAAAAATTCCTCCACAAATTTCTCACTCCATATCACTTTAGAAATGTATTGGTCAGAAGATGGCTTATTAAAATGTGTTGGTGTTTCTGTTGAAGATATCGTTGTTAACGTTGGTGACGTTACTGCTGTCATTGAAGTAAGTAAAGATAAAGCAAAGTGATTTAGAGTAAGTGAGGTAGATAAAAGTAGTCCATCTTTTACAGATGTTTGTATATATAATTTTTTCACACAATGATCATTATAAATATCGTTTCCAAGTAAAGACAGTCCCATAGTATCCATAACTATACTATCATCTGATGAAAATCGTTTTTAAAAAAAATGATTTTCCCGATAAATGTAATGCTGTAGCCATTTGATTATATCAATTGAAGCTAGACCATCATGGAAAACCTGTAAGTAATGGACAGTGGATGAGCACTGCTGAGGAGTCCTACAATAGGAAGAAACGACCGTCCAGTGCTTCCAGGTACTTTGGAGAATTTTAAAGCAAAACTAGACACACTACTATCACTTTAAAACTATAAAATCTTCATTCGAATATTAGAGGTGGTAATGTTTCATATGACTAAAATATTCTGAGCTAGGATGAAATTCTTGTGTAATTCTATTTAATTATCAAAGATTCTCTGGTTGATGGAGGCCCGAGATGAAAACTCTCTACAGTTTTTCTATCGTTATTAATTAGTTCACTGTTAAGGTCTTCAGATGGAGTTTTCTACGCGTCTAAAATTCTTTGTAGTTAATGAGATAAAAATCATATGTGATGGAGAAACCTCAGATAGTATGGCTCATAATCACTTTCAGTGGTACAAATACATTTTTTCTTCAAGATTCCAGTAATGTTTGAGTAATATTATAATTTTATAGTTTACCGTCATTCATTTTATTCATTTCTTTAGAATTTGATGGTCCAGGAGAGTCCATCTATGTCGTACCATACCTCAAATTCACACGATAAGTTAGAGATTCAGTTGTGGTCAGGTTATTGTGAGTAAGCGAACAGTTCAACGGAGCACAGTTACAACTTAGTCACCACTCAGCAATTCCTTCTTGGATTGAACCAGTAATTCATGTATACACATGAGTTTTGAACATTATTAGTCAGCCATTGGTATAAAGATTCCTACCCATTCTTTGCGACATAACTCCATATGGCTTGTTGGATCGGTATATATTATCACTGAATTAGACCACTATATAACGGAACTATAATTTCCAGGGTTATATTTCTAATAAAGAGATAATTTTTCAGATGAAGAACAAGTACCACTTCTAACTTCCTCTTGAAATTTTATCCAATAAAATACAGCGAAAACTTTATATAGTCCATACAATTATTCATGTTCACTTTTGTTAACCTTCTGTCATTGACATTGGTTGGAATCATGACAAATTGAATCAACACACTTTTTTTTCTTCGTTAAATTATCAGATGGGTTTTTGTAGATATAGTAATTTCAATAGTTGAAATCATGAGTCAATTGAAGCTAGACCATCATGGAAAATCTGGAAGCACTATGTATCCACGATCCCGCCTCACGTGATTCAAAACCAGGACCTATTAGTCTCGCACGCGGGCGCTTAACTTCCAGACCACTGAGCCAACAACCGATGGTGTTAATGTTTAACTTCAACTAATCCACAAAATTGAGTGGCCTTCTTATTAGTGACTGATAGGTCCTGGGTTCGAATCTTGCAAGACGGGATCGTGGGTGCGCACCGCTGAGGAGTCCCACAATAGAACGAAACGACTTTCCAGTGTTTCCAGGTTTTCCATGGTTGTCTAGCTGCATTAAATTAGTTTATACTTGACTGACTGAATGTTTATAGTCCACTTATTCTTTCATTTTTATGATAAAATTTTGGATTTCATGCTGTGACACTTACAAATTTGTCGATAATAATAATAATAATAATAATAATAATATAATAAATAGATAACATTCAACTATCTAACTATATTGAATGAATGATTGTTTATCATAATTTAGTTTAAAAACTATTTAGGTTTATTTTGAATTATATAAACAGTAGCAATTTTCGTATATTCGCAAATGAGAAACGAGAAAAGGAAGAAGAAGAAGAAGAAGAAGAAGGGTAAGAAGAAGAAGAAGAAGATAAGATATTAATCTGTTTCTCTATTCTGTCAGCTTACACATTTCACGATTATTAGAAGAGATATGTGCACTAATATTATATATAAAAGAAACAACAGAATAACTACGAGCTATTCAAGTGAACATGACTATTCAGGTTGACAAACAAAATAGAAAGAGTTGAATGATAAAAGAATATACATATTTCTGTAAGCAAATGTTAAAAATTAAAAACTAGTGTAGTACGAGAGATGAACTAAAAATTGTTACGATTAAATATTGCAATCAATAAAATCAGGAAACCAAGAGGTAAGAGGCCTAGTATCGAAACTTCCTGTTAGTTGAAGTTCATCAACAAGGTGTATCTGTAAATTTATGGGAACTGATGGTGAATTTGGACACACGTTATCCAACTTCATAATCGATGACATAACTACTGAGCTATTCGTATTATACCTTACATCCTGTAGGACAGAGATGTATCTAGAATCGTTTGACCATTGACTACTCACCAGTATTATATTAGTCTAGTCCTTTAGTTCTGATCGAACTTTGTCTATCAGGCTGCAAATGAATCTAACATGGAATACTGTATATGGCATTACGGCCCGATGACGTGAACAAGTCCGTCAAAATTTTCTTTTGTACCAGATTAGAATCAACATTGCTCGGTGCCACAGTATGACATGTTCTTACTTAGTTACCGACGCATTTTACTCCTCGTGGAGGGACATAGACAGCCAACCAGCCTTTATCCATCCAACTAAATCCTGGGCAATACTCTCCAGTGATTTTCCGGTCGCCATTCATCACTTTGATGTCTGTCTACAATTCCCGATATAGTGTGTTCGTCGGTCTTCTTCTTCTCCGTTTCCCTACACGATTCTAAGTTAGCGCTTGGATTGTGATTCAGTTTGGTGATTTCCTCAATGTATATTCTATCCGCTTCCATTTCCTCTTCATTTGGAAGCTTGTTTGTGCTCTTCAACAGTAGATTGTTACTGATGGCATTCACTCTTCCTCCTATTACTGCTTATCAGCCTCAATGCTTCAAATTACTTGTTTTGAGTATATCCTTTAAGTCTTGGATTCTGTTGTTGGAGGTTATTCTGAATTCGTTGGGTTTGTCAGTATCTCGAAAAGTGGGCTGTATTGGACCGCTGTAATGCAGTTTCCCCAGTTGTCCAATGCTTTCTTGGATTGAGATTAGTTCTGGCAATCTCGAGGTAGTGATCCGAAGCTACGTCAACAATTCCTCTCCTGATTCTCACGTCTTCCAGTGACCTTTTTAACATTTTGGTGATGCAAATATGGTATATGTGATTGTCCGTGTTGTGATTCAATGAGAGATCCATGTAGCTTCGTGTATACGCTTGTGTGGGAATATTGCGCCACCTGTATTTATTTTGTTGAATGTGCATAAATTTGAAATGTGTCACCATTCTCACTCCTTTCTCCCAATCATTTCATATATTTCCACGATATCTTCATACTTGGTGTTGTCTATTCCAGCTTTGGCGTTTAGGTCTCCCATCGTGATGGTCAGGTCCTTTCCGGAGCACTTCACTACGCTCGACTAAAGCCTCTCGTAAGACTAGTCTTCTTCGTCTTCATTTTTATCGTTGGTGGGTGTATGACATTGGATAACATTCATTGTGTTCCCTTCCTTTCATGCTTTCAATGATGCATTGATGATTGTGGATCTATGAGATTCCTATTCTATGAGTGCATTAAGTGCTTCTTTGAACAACATCAATGCAAATGTCTGAGTGTGTTGAGCATGTTTTTCTTCATGACTCGAGTAGGACAGCATCCCTCTTCAGTCCAATCTTTTCTGTCCAGCTTTGGTCCTATGGGTTTCATTTATTCTGAGAATCACCAGTTCGTATCTCCTCACTTCTACAGCCAATTTATTGGTCGTTTGATTCATATATCTATGAAATAGAATTTAAACTCTTCTTCGTGTTTCATAATATAATCTATTTAATTTTGGGTTTTGTTAAGGAGATTATGTAGATATTTAGACTGATCATGACTGTCGGAGAGAAGGAGTTTGTCAATTATATATCTTCAATATAGTTTTGTTACTTCAGTTTGTTTGTTCCAGATTCCTTATTGATGTCAATTGTTTCGCATTATCTCATACTTCGATGTTACATTTCAGTATAAACGTTATAAACAACTGACGAGAAATCATAATACTCTGCTTCAATTTCTGGTATGGGTGCTACCCGTGGTTAGTCTATAACACTGTGTTCAAGTCTTGATATGAACAATAGTATTGTAACGATCCGATTTAATATATCTTAGATTGTATCGTCAGTCACTATTCAAAATATAGTTTAACGTATCGCCAACTTTGATTGTTGTTTTTTAAAAATAATTTTATTATGTTGTACAGTGACACGTATTTGATCCATGGAATTTGTCTGTTTATGTTGGAGTGATGCAGAAAATTGTTTGAAAAGACAAGCAAGCATCAGGAAACACTAAAAATCGTTTCATCCAATCAGCGTTTACTTGAAGTCTTAGCCAAAAATATCAAGTAGGCGAAACGTCACATACAGAGGCTCTGATTGCCTGGCTGCTACACTGCTACTATGTTTAGTAGCATTCAAGAATATTCTGGTGACCCAAAGACATTTAAAATATTATGAAAACCCTGTATTTTCTGTATTAAAATGAACCATAGAGTAGATTACTTATCGCATACTTTGAGTCTTCTCTCTCGTGTTCAGGTGGCTGTATAGTTCTAGCTTGAGAGTTACAGAATAGCTTAGGAGACGAATGTAGTGTTCAATCCTCAAGACTTATCAATTTACCAGTAAAAGGCACCGTATAATTTTCAAGACTCGACCAAATGAATGAAAGCAGTTCGTTAATTCCATCATTTTGTTAATTTCGAAACGTTTTTTCTTAAAATTCGTTCTAAAATTTTCTCAATTATTTATAATACAAAATACCTCAGTAATAGATTCTCTTTCCTTTATCTCTATATGCCTACAGATTAGGTCATGTTTATTAAGATAGTAATAATAATCTTTTATCCTATAGAACATGACTTTTTGGAACTTTTACTACAGTAAAATTAGTTTCGAGAAAACAGTCTCGGAGATGTAGAAGTAGTTTTTTTCTAGACATTTTTCTTCCAACTATTTATATTCAAAAAGTAAAGCTTAGCAGTTGATGCATACCGACGTCAACTATTTTCTTTTTAATAGTTGAATTCATGAGTTAATTGAAGCTAGACTATCATAGGAAACCTGGGAGCACTGAACTGCTGTTTCGTCCTTCTGCGCATCCATGATTACGTCTTGCGCGATCCAAACCCAGGACCTATCAGTCTCGTGCGCGAACGCTTAACCTCTAGACCACTGAGCTGACCGGTATCCAACGGTTTTAACGCCTAACTTCAACTAATTTTCTGTTTAATTATTCAAATAACTAACTAACATAATTGTTTGTTTCTTTCTCTAATCGTTTTTATAGGTGTATTTTTCATATATGCACTCTGTCCAATACGTATGTGAACTGATTTATAAAGATTATCATTTACAGGCATGAAGAAAACAAACGAACAATTGGATTGTACTTAAATACCTGTCTTTTCGAGTAGACGTGAACTTAGTGGTCTATCTTTATCCAAGTGTTTATCGTGCAATGATAATAAGTAGACGATAAAACGTATAGCAATAAGGCAAATGAAAGTTAGACAACCGATATTATCCGAAGACGTTTACAGCAATGAAAATAAAGATTAAAAACGTTTAATGTCCTTAATAAGAAAGATTTTAAGCAGGATAATATTAATGTACACGAAATATTGCCAGATAAACTTCTTATGGTCCACTTATTGCGCAAACTGTATATTCTGAACAAAATCGTAGAAGTGATTGTATCGCCATTATGACTTAACGAAATGATTTTAAATAGACTGACAATAGGTCGATCTGTTTATAATGATGGTAAATTGATAGATTTATAATATCCTAATGAGTAGAAAACTGAACTCCTGGTGTTTCGTAACCTATTGTAAATTACTTTTCCGGAGAATAAATAATCTTGTCTGACGTCGAGACTCAAATTTATGGACGGGCCAATCAGAGGCGTTTTAGAGATTTCAAGGTAACGGCGTCAACTTCAGTGCTTAATGCAGGGAATTGTGTACAAAACGTGATAATTGAGCGAGTATAACTGATAAAATGGCGAGACTATAATTTGTGAACAAATCAATCAGGTATAAAATAACAGATCTCGGATTTTGGAGTGAAAGCCTTTCATCCACTTGGCTAAATAAATTTCTGCAGTATAGCTGATGTCAGTTCGTGATGAAAACCCCATATATAATTTCTAACGCAAATTACGACAATTATTGCGAACTGGATAATAAAAGCACCAGTAAAACTGGCTGCAGGTACTACAATATATACTGATGTTTGGAGAGCGTACAGACTCCTACATAGGTTTGGTTATGTGCATCGGGTCGTTATCCACAAGTAGCATTTTGTGCACTCAACAACCGGAGTGCACACAAACAATATTGAAGCTATGTGGTCGAAGCTGGAAGAGTTTTTGAGACTTTACCATGGCTCCAGAGGCCGACTACTATGTAGTCATATGGATGATTTCCTCCACTGCAAGCAATACACTTCTAGAACCTCTGAACCTCTTTCTAACATCGACAAGTTTTTGAATCACGTATAAGAAGTGTGTTCACTTTATTTCATTCTACTTGAGCCATACTTTGACCTTGTTATTTATTCGCTTATCAGTCTTCACTGTGTTTTATATGAGCGTATATGTGTGTGCACATCATATCCCATGACTCATTGCATGTCTGTAGCTTTATTTTGTCTGACTATAAATATTGAGTAACGCTTAACTAAAATAGAGTTGGCTTCCCAGCCATCTTCCCTGCGTGTCATTTTGCTTGGCTCTGTTTCATTCTCTTCATACACAAAATATATGTATTCACAAATCAATTCTCGTTATTCGACTTATTTAATTCCGTTATTGGCTAACGTGATTTATGTCGAAGATTATATACGAGAATAGGCGATAACAAACATTCGTACGATCTAAATAGAAGTCAGATCCACGGGCCACTAAAATGGTAACCCCGACGTGAGAACAGGAAATGACGGGCCACTAAAGGCCACAGTGGTATATCAATAGGAGGCATATGTATATAACACTAGATAACTGAAATGAAGTCGTGATTTATGGTTCTGTATCAACTCACTAAATGAACGGAAAAGTGTTCAAACCGCTAGGCATTGTACTTTTTTTGATGAACATTAGAAAAAAAAGATGGTCAACCTGACACATCAAAGATTATTAGCATTATAGTTAATAGTTTTTTTTTAAAAACTTCTGTTTACTTACCTACCTAATGATGATTTTAATTCATTTTGATCAGATGTAAAATTTTGTTGCCAAAATGATCGCTCAAAATTATATCCACGTTGTGAAAATATCGAACGAAATGTAGACGAAGTATTATTATCATTATGCCATGGATGAGGTGGTAAACTTACACTATGACTGTTTGGAACATTATTATTATTATTATTATTATTATTATTATCACTATTATCGCGGATAGGATGTTCACTTTGAGCTCGTTGAAATGATCGTTGATGATGTAATTTTTGAATTAAATCATTACTATCCATAACAGTATCATTTAATGTATTTATTAATGGATTATATTGTACAGGTAAATGTTTCTTTTGTTGTCTAGTTGATTGTATTAATTCATTAATTGATATATTACTATTCAATTTCTCATTTATATTTTTAGTTACACTAATTGTATTGGATCGTTTTAATTGTTGTCTATTTGATAAATTTGATTTCGTTCGTGCTAGAATTGATGGATTGATAATTTCTTCTTTATTCATTGGTTGTTTTATTGTTGAATGGTTCATGAATGGAGAAAAATTCCTTGAATGTTGATTATTAAACTTTTGTTCAATTGAAGTGTTATTATTATTATGATTATAAATTGTTGATTGTAATGGTATGGTACTAATATTAGAAGGATGTAAAGATAGAAATTCATTTAGTGTAAGACCTTCTGAACGTGGTAGAAACATATTCTGTTTATTAATTAATCAATTTTTTTCATCTACTGATGAAAACTTGTTTTGGAAGAAAGAACAAAGGACGAAACAAAAAAGGAATTCGATGAGTTAAAACGTGAATTTAAAAAAGTAAAAAAAACTAAAAAAAAAACTAAAAATATCTGAAATATCAAATTAAATATCTATTCCTTAAGTTACTTCGGTTGGAATATAGCAAACAATATGAACTTTTTAGCAGAAGGGGTTTTGTGGAGATTTTATTAATTTCAATCGTTGAAATCATGAGTCAGTTGAAACTAGACCATCATGGGAAACCTGGAAGCACTGAATGGCTGTAGGACTGTAGGACTCCTCAACATTGCGCACCCACGATCTGGTTGTGCGAGATTCGAACCAAGGACCTATCAGTTTCCCGCGCGAGCGCTTAACCATTAGACCACTGAACCGGTTGGCATCCAACGGTGCTGATGTCTAACGTTAACTAATCCATGAGATCGAGCGACACGTCCACTACAGTTTTCAGTGAGTTGATATCTCACAACAGACCTGGTTGAACTTAACTGGTAACGGCTTCTCCCTAGAACTCCAGGAAATGCCTCTTGAAGTCAGTCACTAGGATGCCGGTTCAATGGTCTAATGGTTAAGCGCTCGCGCGCGAGACTGATGGGTCCTGGGTTCGAATCTCGCGGAGAGCGGGATCGTGGGTGCGCACTGATGTGGAGTCCCGCAATAGGACGAAATGGCCGTCTAGTGCTTCCATGTTTTCCATGGTGGTCTAGCTTCAATTGACTCATGATTTCAACTCTTGAAATATGAAACGGTTATTAATCTCTGATCAATTAGTGAGGATGTGTCAGTCCTAAAAGAATTCAATCATCGCCTAACTTACTCGTTGGCAATGTCTATGACTATGTCACAAAGTGATATAATTTTGATGCATCTGGAATCATCATTACACTTATGATTGGAGATTCCCAAAAATGATTAATTTCGGAAAAGAAAAAAAATTAAATTACAGCATCTGTTCTACACTTAAGCTGGTTTAAGTTCAATTTCGTCAGGCCCCTTCAATTAAATTATTCAAAAGACAAAGTCATTCAAACAGTAACAATTTGTATCTCTTGGTCTTATTAATAAGTCTGTGTGAACATGTGTGCTTAATCACATGTGACAGCCTACGTATATATCCATCTTTCCAGCTTAAACGTCAACTGCTTAAATCTCTTGGATAAACAATTCACTTGCCTATACATGTATACAATTTTGAATCATATTTATTGATTCAACTCTATTCAGTTCACTATTCGACACTCAATTCACCTTTGTATTCATTCGGTTACATTAGCATTTCTTCTCGAATCCGATTGGTTTGCTTTTGGCTAAGTGTTCTGTATTATTCAATAATAAACTGTCGTTGGATTTTAGTGTTGCCTCCTGAATACATATGCCGTTGGGATTTATTTAATAAGGGCTATCAGGAAGATCAATGTATGAAACTTAAGGAATTATCTCGAAGCTAATCCAGTACCAGATTAAGTATGTTCTGTCGTCAAGCCCAGTTCTGAAAATTCCATGAAAATGTATTTTGATTTGAATTATGTTTAGCTAAATTTATATATGAGAACGACGTCAATATGACGTTGGTAAGATGAAATCGTTATATTTAACTTATGTGGATCTTTGCAATTGACTTCAATACTTATACTTTGTAATTTAATATTATTTCAAACATACTTTTTTAAATAGACATCAAATTCTTAAACAAACTAATCTGATGTGACTGTATCAAAATCAGTACGGTGGTATGGTAGGTCTCTTACGATGATTTTTCTCGTTAGATAGTGAATAATAACTTCATTATACAATTCACTAGTGAACTAACGAAATACAAAATCATTTCGATAAATTCAATGACGATCATTCACTTACAAACTTTTGTGAGAAAAGTACACATTTATAAACTTAATTTATTAGAGGATGATTACAAACAAGAGTAGCAACAAAAAACCAATACAAATGAATTAAACGTCACTTGATTGCATAAGCTAGTGGCTATCTAGAGTAAATGAATAAGTGGATAACGCGACGTCGTTTCAAGTGAAAGGTACTAGGTTCAAGTCTTAGAATGAACATCAGCTCTGGAATGCAGGAAATATCCAGTCACCGACTCGCAGATAGGACAAAACGTACGTCTTAGATTTCATTACTAGCTACCGTTCATCTCTGGTTCTAGTATCTAAGTTAAAGATTTTAGTTTTAACAGTAAATGTACAATAATGGAACAGTTTTGAGGTTAAATGAATAGTACCAAACATAAAAGTTTCAAATACTGACAAACTACTTTCATGTTTTCATTCAGTAAGAGAAAAATGTTTTTTACATAAGATTAAGCATAATTGACTATGTACTATGTAAGATATGCAAAACTATTCTGGATGGTTATTATGTGAACAAACCCACTTCTTGACTTTTACACACTTTTATTATCTATTGAAACAGATCACATATATATATGTATATGCATGAAAAAGTACTTTGTTTAGTCTATCATCTTGCTTTGTTCAGCTTTTTAATGATACGATAAAACTGTTTTTGTTTAGACCAAATGAAAGGTATCATTTATATTTCTATCCAAGAAAAACTGTTCATCTATATTCATGATAACATCATATCTGATGTTTATGAATTAGAGAAATAATTTCATAATATAATTGATTGATGTCATGTAATTGTCATAGTAACTCATTAAGAACACCTATCTACATTGCTCATTTCAACAATCTATGACTTCATGAACTGATCCCACCCCTTGAATATACATCCCCTGGCTTTGTTCCAGGATATACTCGTACTTTTGTTTGTAGATAGACATCCTACCCACGCAACAAGTGATGAAATCTGGTAAAAGTCAACCTAGCATTTTAAATTCTTGCAAAATCTTCATTAGACTCCAACCCATCAGAGCTGAAGAGACTTCAAAGATAATTGAAGTGGTCAATGCGCTTAACTACTTTGTTGTATATCGCTAGTTCTAGTGCTGACGCAGATTAGAACTGAAGCAATATTTTGCATTTAGAAGGAAAGAGATGAGTTTCAAACGTGCTTCATTGTTAGCCAAGGCTGTCGAAAGACTGAATTTTGTTAGCATTTTTACCAAACAGGGTTATATCATTTTCAAGTTCCAAGTCAGCAAATGAATCGCCGGGTATTAAATAGATTTCTTGAAAAATGGTGCAATGAGAGAGTTGTGTTTCCAAGAATGTCTGTGACACAGTCAAATAAAAATAGGGAAAATAGTAAGCTCTGTCAAGCACTACATGAAACTAAAAATTCTGGAAACAGTTCGTGATAAGCTAGTTAACCAAAATAATACTACCCTATAAATCAAAGAGTTTTGAATATTTATTAATTTATTAAACAACTTCTATTTACCATGGTATGTAGGTATGAGGGCGGTTATCACTTCCCGGTTGCACACACCGTGGAAGGGTTTTTATGGAGGTGCCTGAAAAGAAAATTGGATTAGAGGTGGTCTTAGTGACCTGAGAGCGTGACCGCAGTGCCCAAGGGACAACTGCTTGAGGTCAGTCACACATGACCTTTTTATGGGTAATTTTTGTGTTAGCTCCGTACCTGTTGAGACCTTACCGCCGGAGACGGATATCCTTGGGATAAGGCGAGGTGTGCATTTTTAGGGTCAAACTTTTCTAACCCACCCCTCCTTGTAGGAAGGCAGCATCGCTGTCATGCTGGTTGTCTGAAGGAAACACCTTACTGCTGTCACACCTCTGTACAGTCAGCAGTACGACTTCGCCTTCGGACCTTAGGTTTGTTGCTTTTAATCTTACCGCTCTTCAACCGACCTGTCTGACATAGTAGGACCTTGAGGAACGGTTGTTTCAGCCAATATAGCTCGGTTGCTTCATCACGATAGGTAAGCCCAACCACCACGTCAAAGTAGCAACAACGACCGGGTACCATGGTATGTAATGAATAACAATAAATAAGATAGTTTTACATTAGAAAAAAACTACTTCTACCTTCTGTTCACCACCTAAGACTTTACACATAGACTTATATGCATACTCATGAACATCTTATTCTTAATGATACACATTTATAACTTAAGAAGCTATTTGATTTTATTACACTCTCACTGGGTTTTGTTCTTTGTTTGCTTGTTTCTTTCTCTCTCTCTGTCTATATGTCTTCCTGTATTTCATACTTGAAATATTCTAGTCGCCAGACTCAAATCTAATAAATAATAATATTAATGATAATTTGTTTTTTTGATTAAAATCTATTGTATATTATCAGTGTAATTGTTATTAGTTCTTCATTACTGATATAAAGAGATACCGAGTCAATATATCATGGGATTAAAACATTATCTACATATTGTGTATATATGTACTTGGGGAATGTTACATGGATAACAAAATCACTGTTGATATAAAGTCCAAAAACTGTATTTCTAGCTAAAATGATACCAAGTTTCAGACAGCTCTGTTTATTTTAGTTTGTAGATGATAATCACTACTTCACAAGTATATCTAAGGCATAAAGAAATGTCTATTTATATAAAATCATATTTGTCGGATGGGTTCAGAACTCGTATTATAATACATAACGAAAGAGTAAGGGACTCGAGTCAAGAATTAAACTTTTTTCATTATTTTTCTGTTTTTATTTCACATACGTCTTCCTTTAGTGTTACATAACTTTTATTGGTTCTCTTTTTGAATTTTTTTTGACACTCACTGTACTTGATATTATATTCGTAAGTGTATGTAATCAACCCTACGGATCATTGTGGAACAATCAATTGAATAGAATTTATCACTCTACACCAACTTTATTGAATACGATCAAGCATTTGATAGATTGAACAGAACAACACTATGGAAGCTTCTTCGATACTACGGCGTGCCTCAGAAGATAGTCAATATCATACGGAATTCCTATGATGGATTAAACTGCAAAATCTTGCATGGAGGACAATTGACAGACTCGTTCGAAGTAAAAACCGGTATCAGGCAAGGTTTCTTACTCTCACC